TTATTTGAAGAGATACGTCAAAAACGAATACGGAATCGTGATCCTGAGGAAATTTCGCGTAAAATGACCTCCAAAACGGTCGAAAACGGACCAATTTTGAAAATACCAATTTTTGCCATTTTCTCGCTTATTTGAAGAGATACGTCAAAAACGAATACGGAATCGTGATCCTGAGGAAAATCCGCGTAAAATGACACCCAAAACGGTCGAAAACGGACCAATTTAAAAAATTCCAAAATTTGCATTTTTCTCGCTTATTTGAAGAGATACGTCAAAAACGAATACGGAATCGTGATCCTGAGGAAAATCCGCGTAAAATGACACCCAAAACGGTCGAAATCGGACCAATTTAAAAAATTCCAAAATTTGCATTTTTCTCGCTTATTTGAAGAGATACGTCAAAAACGAATACGGAATCGTGATCCTGAGGAAATTTCGCGTAAAATGACCTCCAAAACGGTCGAAAACGGACCAATTTTGAAAATACCAATTTTTGCCATTTTCTCGCTTATTTGAAGAGATACGTCAAAAACGAATACGGAATCGTGATCCTGAGGAAAATCCGCGTAAAATGACACCCAAAACGGTCGAAAACGGACCAATTTAAAAAATTCCAAAATTTGCATTTTTCTCGCTTATTTGAAGAGACGTCAAAAACGAATACGGAATCGTGATCCTGAGGAAAATCCGCGTAAAATGACACCCAAAACGGTCGAAATCGGACCAATTTAAAAAATTCCAAAATTTGCATTTTTCTCGCTTATTTGAAGAGATACGTCAAAAACGAATACGGAATCGTGATCCTGAGGAAATTCCGCGTAAAATGACCTCCAAAACGGTCGAAAACGGACCAATTTTGAAAATACCAATTTTTGCCATTTTCTCGCTTATTTGAAGAGATACGTCAAAAACGAATACGGAATCGTGATCCTGAGGAAATTCCGCGTAAAATGACCTCCAAAACGGTCGAAAACGGACCAATTTTGAAAATACCAATTTTTGCCATTTTCTCGCTTATTTGAAGAGATACGTCAAAAACGAATACGGAATCGTGATCCTGAGGAAAATCCGCGTAAAATGACGCCCAAAACGGTCGAAAACGGACCAATTTTGAAAATTCCAATTTTTGCCATTTTCTCGCTTATTTGAAGAGATACGTCAAAAACGAATACGGAATCGTGATCCTGAGGAAAATCCGCGTAAAATGACACCCAAAACGGTCGAAATCGGACCAATTTAAAAAATTCCTAAATTTGCATTTTCTCGCTTATTTGAAGAGATACGTCAAAAACGAATACGGAATCGTGATCCTGAGGAAATTCCGCGTAAAATGACCTCCAAAACGGTCGAAAACGGACCAATTTTGAAAATACCAATTTTTGCCATTTTCTCGCTTATTTGAAGAGATACGTCAAAAACGAATACGGAATCGTGATCCTGAGGAAAATCCGCGTAAAATGACACCCAAAACGGTCGAAAACGGACCAATTTAAAAAATTCCAAAATTTGCATTTTTTTCGCTTATTTGAAGAGATACGTCAAAAACGAATACGGAATCGTGATCCTGAGGAAATTCCGCGTAAAATGACCCCCAAAACGGTCGAAAACGGACCAATTTTGAAAATACCAATTTTTGCCATTTTCTCGCTTATTTGAAGAGATACGTCAAAAACGAATACGGAATCGTGATCCTGAGGAAAATCCGCGTAAAATGACACCCAAAACGGTCGAAATCGGACCAATTTAAAAAATTCCAAAATTTGCATTTTTCTCGCTTATTTGAAGAGATACGTCAAAAACGAATACGGAATCGTGATCCTGAGGAAATTTCGCGTAAAATGACCTCCAAAACGGTCGAAAACGGACCAATTTTGAAAATACCAATTTTTGCCATTTTCTCGCTTATTCGAAGAGATACGTCAAAAACGAATACGGAATCGTGATCCTGAGGAAAATCCGCGTAAAATGACACCCAAAACGGTCGAAAACGGACCAATTTAAAAAATTCCAAAATTTGCATTTTTCTCGCTTATTTGAAGAGATACGTCAAAAACGAATACGGAATCGTGATCCTGAGGAAAATCCGCGTAAAATGACACCCAAAACGGTCGAAATCGGACCAATTTAAAAAATTCCAAAATTTGCATTTTTCTCGCTTATTTGAAGAGATACGTCAAAAACGAATACGGAATCGTGATCCTGAGGAAATTTCGCGTAAAATGACCTCCAAAACGGTCGAAAACGGACCAATTTTGAAAATACCAATTTTTGCCATTTTCTCGCTTATTTGAAGAGATACGTCAAAAACGAATACGGAATCTTGATCCTGAGGAAAATCCGCGTAAAATGACACCCAAAACGGTCGAAAACGGACCAATTTAAAAAATTCCAAAATTTGCATTTTTCTCGCTTATTTGAAGAGACGTCAAAAACGAATACGGAATCGTGATCCTGAGGAAAATCCGCGTAAAATGACACCCAAAACGGTCGAAATCGGACCAATTTAAAAAATTCCAAAATTTGCATTTTTCTCGCTTATTTGAAGAGATACGTCAAAAACGAATACGGAATCGTGATCCTGAGGAAATTCCGCGTAAAATGACCTCCAAAACGGTCGAAAACGGACCAATTTTGAAAATACCAATTTTTGCCATTTTCTCGCTTATTTGAAGAGATACGTCAAAAACGAATACGGAATCGTGATCCTGAGGAAAATCCGCGTAAAATGACGCCCAAATCGGTCAAAAACGGACCAATTTAAAAAATTCCAAAATTTGCATTTTTCTCGCTTATTTGAAGAGATACGTCAAAAACGAATACGGAATCGTGATCCTGAGGAAATTCCGCGTAAAATGACCTCCAAAACGGTCGAAAACGGACCAATTTTGAAAATACCAATTTTTGCCATTTTCTCGCCTATTTGAAGAGATACGTCAAAAACGAATACGGAATCGTGATCCTGAGGAAATTCCGCGTAAAATGACCCCCAAAACGGTCGAAAACGGACCAATTTTGAAAATACCAATTTTTGCCATTTTCTCGCTTATTTGAAGAGATACGTCAAAAACGAATACGGAATCGTGATCCTGAGGAAAATCCGCGTAAAATGACGCCCAAAACGGTCGAAAACGGACAATTTTGAAAATTCCAATTTTTGCCATTTTCTCGCTTATTTGAAGAGATACGTCAAAAACGAATACGGAATCGTGATCCTGAGGAAAATCCGCGTAAAATGACACCCAAAACGGTCGAAATCGGACCAATTTAAAAAATTCCAAAATTTGCATTTTTCTCGCTTATTTGAAGAGATACGTCAAAAACGAATACGGAATCGTGATCCTGAGGAAATTTCGCGTAAAATGACCTCCAAAACGGTCGAAAACGGACCAATTTTGAAAATACCAATTTTTGCCATTTTCTCGCTTATTTGAAGAGATACGTCAAAAACGAATACGGAATCGTGATCCTGAGGAAAATCCGCGTAAAATGACACCCAAAACGGTCGAAAACGGACCAATTTAAAAAATTCCAAAATTTGCATTTTTCTCGCTTATTTGAAGAGATACGTCAAAAACGAATACGGAATCGTGATCCTGAGGAAAATCCGCGTAAAATGACACCCAAAACGGTCGAAATCGGACCAATTTAAAAAATTCCAAAATTTGCATTTTTCTCGCTTATTTGAAGAGATACGTCAAAAACGAATACGGAATCGTGATCCTGAGGAAATTTCGCGTAAAATGACCTCCAAAACGGTCGAAAACGGACCAATTTTGAAAATACCAATTTTTGCCATTTTCTCGCTTATTTGAAGAGATACGTCAAAAACGAATACGGAATCGTGATCCTGAGGAAAATCCGCGTAAAATGACACCCAAAACGGTCGAAAACGGACCAATTTAAAAAATTCCAAAATTTGCATTTTTCTCGCTTATTTGAAGAGACGTCAAAAACGAATACGGAATCGTGATCCTGAGGAAAATCCGCGTAAAATGACACCCAAAACGGTCGAAATCGGACCAATTTAAAAAATTCCAAAATTTGCATTTTTCTCGCTTATTTGAAGAGATACGTCAAAAACGAATACGGAATCGTGATCCTGAGGAAATTCGGCGTAAAATGACCTCCAAAACGGTCGAAAACGGACCAATTTTGAAAATACCAATTTTTGCCATTTTCTCGCTTATTTGAAGATGTTCGGTATTCGCGAACTTATGTAGTTTAAACTTAAAAGTCCCCATATCGGTTTGGACCACCCCCAGAGGGCTAACCATATGGGGAGAAGCCAGTAGCCTACGGTATTCGGTCGTAATAACATCTCGGAGCTACCGGTGCGAGTGCTTACAACACTTTATTCTTGTTTTGTGCGGTTTTCTCAACGATAACTACTACACATCACTTCGCCAGGGGATCCCCGAAGCAACGAATTCAACGCACCTTAATCCATCGAGCCCAGGTAGGTCCACAAACGATAGTGGGGGTTTCGTTACCTGTCGGCTTCGTAATTTCGCGTACAACACGTACATTTTTTGGTCCTTCGAGCCGGATCTACGATAGATCCGCAATCGCGATAGCATAGACCGCCCAGGTGCTGCTATCGTACCTTTCGTTCATCAAAATTTTCGTTTGTTTTGTCATAGCTTGCGTCATTCGGACCAAGCTACAGTCGTCCAAGACTACCCACCAGGATACGCAGACACACTTGTCTGTCGAGACGCCACACATTTGGTTTGGCGTCCTCTATCTTTCCTTGTTCACTCGACTAGTAGTTAGTTTCTTTCCTTGTCAACCACTTGACATTACTTGACCATTCGGGTCCTATTTCGCAGAACTATAGACACACGCCCTACATTCGGTTTGGCGTCCTATATCGTTCTTTGTCAATCTTGCATCACTTCGTTTCGTTCCTTGTCACACGCTTGACATTGGGTGGCTAATCGAGTCACTTTCACAGTTTTGTATACACTTTGTCTTTGCATTCTGCACGTGTGGTATATACAATGACCACCATGGATAGAGTTGTTGTAGCCGGACCCCAGCTGTTGCGGCGAATGAAAAATCTGGCTCTAACCGAGGGTACAGATCTTAACGATCAGGCCAATCAATCGGCCATAATAGCAAATTTTGAAATGGCCCAAGAAATTCGGGCCGAATCAAAACAACTCTTTAGGAGCTGCTTAATCGATGAAGAAGAAGTTGAAAAGCTCGATAAAATTAATCAACTCGAAATCGATATCGACGCTGCTTTTGGTAAATTAAAGGCACTCCACGTTTTAGTACTGAGGATCATAGACGCCAATAAAGCAGCGTCGGTACAGGACAAATCATCCGCGCCCGTTCAACCCAGTATCAGACTTGCGCCAATAAATCTTATTAAATTTGACGGTTCTCTAAAGACGTGGCCAACCTTCAGAGACCTATTTAACGTGTCGGTTCATACAAACTCGGTTTATTCTAACATCGAGAAGTTTCATCTTTTGATAACGCACCTTTCAGGTGAACCATTGTCCATAGTAAAGTCACTGCCGATCAGCGACGATAATTATCTTATAGTGTACGAGAGTTTGACGAATCGGTATGAGAACAAAAGACTTTTGGTTGCCACATATTGGCAGTCTGTTAATAACGCGAACAAAGCCACATCTGACTCGCCACAGTCTCTCCGTAATTTAGTGAATAGTTTTACGGAGAATCTGGCGGCATTAGATCAAATTAGTGGATCACTAAACCCACCAGCGTCACTAGATCTGTGGGATTTTACTTTATTCAATTGGATGCTGAGCAAACTAGACGCTTCAACTCGGAAACGATTTGAATTAGAAAATAGTGGGATCGACTTCCCTACTTTTAATTCACTGAAAGAGTTCGTGTTGCGACAATGCAAAGCCCTCGAAGTAAACAATGCTTCGACCGGGCCAATGTCGCAACGAGCGAACCCGGTCCCAACACCATTAAAACTCGACACACCCCACCAGCGGGGTGTCGTACCGCACGCTTTTGTAGCAAATACGGGTAATAAGTGCATCTTTTGTAAATCGGTGCATTTGATATACCAGTGCCCATCCTTTCTCGGACAGTCGCCGCAAGAACGATATCAATCCATCAAGAACAAACGTTGTTGTATCAATTGCTTACGGAACACACACTTGATAAAGGACTGCCCGTCTAAGAGTACTTGTCGCAACTGCAAAGCTCAACATCACAGCTTACTGCATTTCGAGAACCTGGAGCAAATTGCGACAAATACAGATCATCACGTAATGACACAAACGCCGTCCGATTTATGACTCCCGACAAATCCAGTTTTCGATGACACCTCATTATCTGTAATTTCTACCACCACACTTTTGGCAACCATTGTTCTTCATGTTCACGATATTAATAAAAAGGTACACACCGTTCGCGCGTTGCTTGACAGTGGCAGTCAAGCATCGTTTATTACAGAGAAATGTCAGCGACAACTGGGCCTCGGTCTTATTCAATCCCATACCCCTATCATTGGGCTTAACGGAATGGAATCGAAAGCTGGTAGTATGGTATCGTGCATCGTGCAGCCATACTTCCGCGAAACACCACGTCTTTCGGTTTCGGCGATGGTAATAAAAAAGATTTGTGAAGACATGCCTGTAGTTAACCCATCTGCCAATTGGCCGCACTTGCAAAATCTCCAACTCGCGGACCCTAAGTTCAATATTCCCGCAAAAATTGACATGTTACTCGGTGCCGATGTCTTTGCAGCCATTTTTGTTGGGAATAAAAGGCAACATACGTCTCGCGATCCAGCTGTTTTTGAAACGCAATTTGGCTGGATCGTAATTGGGAAAATCGACTTGCAAACTTCCCCAAAGTACGTTTTCCATTCTTCCCATAATGCGCCGCTAGATTCGTTAGTCCGCAAGTTCTGGGAAATGGAGGAGGTTTCCGAAATCCTTCCACCATCTCCAGAGGACGCACGTTGCGAACAACATTTTGTTAACACCCATTCGCGGACTATCTCCGGGAGATTTGTAGTCGCACTTCCGTTCAAAGACAGTGAGCCGATGTTTGAAAACTCCCGTGTCGTTGCACAGCGGAGATTATTATCCATGGAAAAGCGTTTAATTAAAGACCCAAAATTGTATGACCAATACAAACGGTTCATGCAAGACTATTTAGATCGCGGACACATGGAATTAATTTCTAACCAAAATCAAGCGACATTTGAACATCAAACGTACTACATCCCTCATCATTGCGTACTGAAACCCGACAGTACTTCAACAAAACTCCGGGTGGTCTTTGATGCGTCGGCGGTGACGCCCAGCGGGACGTCATTGAACTCGACGTTGGTTACAGGTCCCAAACTACAAAAGGATCTGTTTGATTTATTATTAGAATTTCGGACACATCGGTTTGTAATAATTGGCGACATTGGACAAATGTATAGGCAGATTCTGGTAGTTCCGCACCACCGCGACTATCAACGAATTCTGTGGCGGTTTCACCCGGATGAACCCATTCGTGAATTCCGTCTAAACACGGTGACCTACGGTGTAGCTTCAGCACCCTTTTTAGCGCTTCGCACCTTGGCAGAATTAGCAAAGATCGGTCAAGATCAGTTCCCGTTGGCTTCGCGAGCGTTGTCGAAACACACTTACGTCGATGATATCGTTACGGGCACAAACTCTGTGGCGGATGGTCAACAACTTCGGACCGAACTCGAAACATTGTTAGGCTCGGCCGGGTTTCAACTCCACAAATGGTCGAGCAACTGCCCCGAATTAGTGCCATGTAATCGGGATTCGCACGAGGACGACACACACACGTTTGATAGTGAGTCGTTTCAAAAAATTTTAGGCCTAAGTTGGTACGCGCAGAAGGACAGTTTCTCATACATCGTAAAACCATTGAATCGTACTTGGACTAAGCGTACCATCTTATCAGAATTGGCACGCATCTTCGATCCTCTCGGATTTTTAGCGCCGTTAACTTTCTTTGCAAAGTGTCTAATTCAAAACTTATGGACACTTGGGTTACAATGGGATGACGAACCTCCTGAACCCATAGTTGACAAATGGCAGAAGTACTCGGAAGAGCTTCTTTTATTAACGCGATTAGAAATCCCTCGTCACTTGAATTCAGATTCTTACAGTGCATTGCAGTTACACGGATTTTGTGATGCTTCCGAATCGGGATTTAGTGGAGCTGTCTACTTCCGGTACGAGATGGCGGACGGTCAAATAATTACGAAATTAGTTTGCGCTAAGACTAAAGTCGCCCCACTAAAGCGGGTCACGTTGCCTCGATTGGAACTTTGCGGCGCCCTACTACTTGCTAAACTGATATCTCGGGTCTGCAAAACATATCAGAATTGTTTCAAATTCCAAAAGATCTTTGCGTGGAGCGACTCCACCGTTGCGTTATCTTGGATCAAATCATCGCCACATCGGTGGAAGTGCTTTGTAGCGAATCGAGTCGCACAGATTCAAGATTTGACACTCCCTTCTAGTTGGAAACATATTCGTTCCGAGCAGAACCCTGCAGACTGTGCTTCACGCGGTTTACTCCCATCGGAGCTGGTGCACCATCCCTTATGGTGGGCGGGCCCCACGTGGTTGCAGCTCCCGGAGATAGAATGGAATCTCGGAGATTCAAACGAATCAAATCAATCGCTCGCGGTCATGACGGAGGAAAAAAAGGTGGTCCTGAATGTGGTCACATCTCGAGATCATATTATTGACATTTTGTTGAATCAACATTCCTCTCTACGGAGGGTGCAACGAGTGATAGCAATTCTTATTCGATTCACCCGCAACGCGCGAAACAAAGAGCAACGAGTCAGTGGCCACTTAACTGCAGAGGAACTTCACAGAGCTCTGTTAGTTGTTATTCAACATGTTCAAGCCAGTTGTTTTGAGGATGAAATCGCGAATCTACGACGCAATCAACAACTGTCAAAGGCGCTTCAACGGCTCAATCCGTTTCTAGATAACCGCGGTTTTCTTAGGGTGGGCGGCCGTCTTCAACATGCGCAACTTCCCTTCGACACAAAACATCCCTTGCTTCTTCCTTCAAAACACCGATTAACTGAGCTGCTAATAGAACAATTTCACGTGCGATATTTACATGTAGGACACCAAACGCTATTCTTCTTGTTGCGCCAGCAGTTCTGGATCCTCTCAGCGAAGCGCGCCATTAGATCTGTTGTTTCACGGTGTATTCGATGCTTTCGCACCCGTCCGACGTCGATTACACCACTCATGGGAAACTTACCTTATGCCAGAGTCAACCACCTCAAACCCTTTTTGCATAGTGGGGTGGATTTCGCCGGTCCTATTAGTCTGACAATGGGCAAATATCGAGGAACGCGAACAACGAAGGCATACATTTGCATTTTTGTGTGTATGTCGGTAAAGGCGGTACATCTCGAGTTAGTATCTGATTTAACTTCGGACGCCTTTATTGGAGCATTTCGACGCTTCATAGCTCGTCGTGGTAGATGTACACACTTATACAGTGACTGTGGCACTAACTTTGTTGGAGCAAATAAAGTGCTGCTACAGTATGCCAAAAATGCAGCAAGCTCACTAGAATTAAAATGGCATTTTAATCCTCCGAATGCCCCAAATTTCGGGGGTCTCTGGGAAGCAGGGGTGCGGTCCGTGAAAACCCACATCGTTCGGGTAATCGGTGCCCAATCACTTACCTTCGAAGAGTACTACACCCTGCTAGTGCAAATCGAAGCGGTTTTGAACTCTCGCCCACTATTCTCTGCTAGCCCCGATCCCAACGATTTGAATGCTTTAACACCTGGCCACTTTTTAGTATTAGAACCTTTATCTAGTCCGCCAGATGAAGACGTCAGTACTTTAAAACTCAATCGCCTCAATCGCTGGCAATTAATCCAACGTTGTCAACGCGACTTTTGGAAGCGGTATCAAACAGAGTACCTTCACACTTTGCAGCAAAGGACAAAGTGGTGCAAGGTGGAACAGGGTCCGGTGATCAATTCAATAGTTGTGATAAGGAACGATAATGCCCCTCCGCTGCAGTGGCGGTTAGGGCGAATTGTGGAACTCCACCCCGGTGCAGACGGAGTCCATAGAGTCGCCACTATTAAAACTTCCCTGGGTCTACTAAAACGACCAATTTCAAAATTGTGCCCACTGCCAGTAGAGTCCTAACTCTACTGCATCTCTGTAGATTAGTTCTTATTCTTTTTACACTTTCCTTTTCTTTTTCGTAGAATAGTTCATTAGATATAGATATAGATTCTTTAGTCATAGGTTCAAAAATATCGCTTATGCGTATTTTGGTGGGCGGTATGTTCGGTATTCGCGAACTTATGTAGTTTAAACTTAAAAGTCCCCATATCGGTTTGGACCACCCCCAGAGGGCTAACCATATGGGGAGAAGCCAGTAGCCTACGGTATTCGGTCGTAATAACATCTCGGAGCTACCGGTGCGAGTGCTTACAACACTTTATTCTTGTTTTGTGCGGTTTTCTCAACGATAACTACTACACATCACTTCGCCAGGGGATCCCCGAAGCAACGAATTCAACGCACCTTAATCCATCGAGCCCAGGTAGGTCCACAAACGATAGTGGGGGTTTCGTTACCTGTCGGCTTCGTAATTTCGCGTACAACACGTACAGAAGAGATACGTCAAAAACGAATACGGAATCGTGATCCTGAGGAAATTCCGCGTAAAATGACCTCCAAAACGGTCGAAAACGGACCAATTTTGAAAATACCAATTTTTGCCATTTTCTCGCTTATTTGAAGAGATACGTCAAAAACGAATACGGAATCGTGATCCTGAGGAAAATCCGCGTAAAATGACGCCCAAATCGGTCAAAAACGGACCAATTTAAAAAATTCCAAAATTTGCATTTTTCTCGCTTATTTGAAGAGATACGTCAAAAACGAATACGGAATCGTGATCCTGAGGAAATTCCGCGTAAAATGACCCCCAAAACGGTCGAAAACGGACCAATTTTGAAAATACCAATTTTTGCCATTTTCTCGCTTATTTGAAGAGATACGTCAAAAACGAATACGGAATCGTGATCCTGAGGAAAATCCGCGTAAAATGACGCCCAAAACGGTCGAAAACGGACCAATTTTGAAAATTCCAATTTTTGCCA